AGTAAAGACACCGGTTGCAGCCTCTGTTGGTTTGGAGTCTGTTGATTTTGATGCATGGGCCAATAATCGAGAAGGACCAAAGTCTGCCCCAGGATGTAGTATATAGATAAGTGTCCCTATGTAAGTAAAAAGTAAATCCCTATGAGCAGTCTTTTCTAAAACATTTACTAGGATTACCTTGCTGTTTGTTTTTGTGTGAGTGAAAAAGTAGTAGTTTCAGTCTTATCATCCTTCCTTAAAAAACAAACACGTCTTGTCATACGCCCTGACAGTCCTCCATGGAGACTTTTATCACTTTTTTTTCCACAATACGAAAAAACAGTGGCGCCATTCTTCAATTCTGTATAATTGCCACATTTACCTCTTAATTATTTGCTGTCTCCAGTTTTGTCTCCAACTTTTTCCTTGTCGTAGGAGATTGTTGGTGAGAAAATGTCTTAAAATCACCAGCGCTCTTCCCAAGTCAACCATAAAAAGTCCCACCCAAACATGATTGGAGCCAGTGGTTGTGCTCGTGCTTCTGCTTTGTAATTCCCATCCGAGAAGTGCTGCGTCTGTGTGTGGCATTCTGTCTGGGATTTTTAGGGTCAGACCAGGTTTCCTAATAGACTATTATAAAAAACCTTGTCAATGAGCTCTTAAACACTTAACAGCTTAAGCATTGTGATAGTGATGTGTTTAAAGCCATAAGTGCTGTTTACTGTACGAGTGTGTCATGCCTGTTGCTATAGTGTGCGTGTGTGTGTGTGTGTGCTTGTGTGTGTATGTGTGTAATTCCTGGCAGATTTAAGGAGGGGCAGATTTGGAAAGGCATCAAAAAGTTCAGGTTGGACCAGTTTGACGCTCAGCTGAGCAAAAGGACAATAGAAATGAATGTTGTTCGTGTTGGATAAAAACTATACAGTATTAAAGCTGCATTACCTCACTTATTTTTGTATTCATTTCGAAAATTCAATCCCTATCCATCCAGTGCATTGAAATACGTTCTTTTGAAGAAAAAGTAGCGCAGATTTGTGCTGGTGTGTCATTTTATTTTAGATTGAGTTTTCTTGCAACAAGGAAGAGAATGTGTTTCGGGACCAGATTGTGACCAATCACAGCGGACCACTGGCCCCCACTTTCTTGAGAGAAGCTACAGGTCTCTCGTTAGCACAGACAGCTGAGGTAAACAAGCGGCGGAGGCTAACCTGAAGCTTCCCGTCTCTTCGTTACATCCAAAAGAAAGTCTTGTTCCTCCGCACTTCCCGGTTCTATCCTTCTATGGTCACACCATTCACGTTCAAATGTGCGATCCAGATTGTGAGACGTGAGCTCCATAAACAATTAGCACATGAGCAAAGGCTGAGGGGGGGCGATAGCTTCATGAGTGCGAGAGGGCGAGCAGAAAGAGCGAGGCCAGCGCTCACATTCGAACATTTGAAAAAGTGAGTCAGTGCAGCTTTAAGATTTACATTTTACCAGGTGTTGACAATAAGATCATGAGACAGATGTTTCTTTATGTACTTTTTAATGAAGGTTATGAGCCTCTTATTCTGCATTTTAATATAGATTGTTATTTATGTGTATTTGCACAGCACTTGTATTGTAATATGATACATTTACTGGATGACTACAGATATAAATTCAAATAATGAATTATTAATTGTTTCCCAAAGTTCTGCCATGGGTTTGATTAAACAAATGATCATGGTTTGGTGGTAATGTAAAGGTATACAAATCAGGACCTTTTTATATATATATTTTTTTTACAGGGGATTTATATTGCCCTGATGGATTGATGTGTATAAATTTAACAAAGAGAAGGGGAGGAGCTTGATACAAATTTGTTTGTCCAAAGTTTGTTAATAGCTCATCTTTTGCATGAGCTACTGTATGACCTGCACTCATTTGAACTAGTTGAATCTGTATGATTTTTATATTGACTTGTGTGACCTTCCTCAGGGACTACAGCTGTACAATTTGTGTACTACTTTTACATGATTGTGTGAGGCCCCAGTCAGATAAATAAACAAACAAACAAATGATTAATTAGTGTCCAACTGATATATTCACTGATTTTCATTCCTTTCCTATTCCAATGCTTGTGTTTTCCTCTGTCATCATAACACAAGACAGATAGACCAGTGTTTACAAACCATATAGAGTTTGAGTGACAGACACAGATCCCATCCTCAGCATTTGGCCTCTACAAGTGTAAATAACAGATATTATCGAGTTATGCCAACGTGACGCTCTAAACACACATCTGTATGATCCGGTCTCGTGGTGCAAATCCCTTTAAGACCGGAGCAGATGGACAGACCTCTGCTGCCGGGACCCGTCCAGAGACTGAAGCTGTGCTATTTATAAGTGTGGGTTAGGGTCAGGAAGCAGGTGGAAGGACACCTCTGGGCCTTCTAATGAGGACGATCGATTTACCAGCGTCACAGGGAAATGTTTGTCAGGTTGTGGTTTATTGCACTGTGAGTTGTTTGCATTTTGGGCGGCACGGCACTGTAATATAGATGACGATCTTTATTACCCACTTTAAACAGCTCAAGTCCAATCATAAGATCACATGGTTTGGCGGGTTATCACTGGTTTTTAATTGGTAATTGATCGTCACAATAGCATTGGTATATGTTAAGGCCAGATTTTAGGTGATGCAGAGTTGCCAATATGCTTATAGGATTGCCTGTTGCTCTTCATAGAACATACTATAATTTGATGTACAGTATGTTTATAAGGAGGGTTACCTCGCATTACAGAATAAGGATATTTTTATCTGTTTATTGTATTTTTTTACATATTTGCAGTTAATTCCCCGTATTTTTTTATATGCTAATTTTCATCTTTAGGCAAGTAGCAAAACAAATACAAAAAGCTTTCATTCCCAGTTTGGTTCAGTTTGTAAGCTATCGGTGTAGGACATGCGTCTGGGTGTAGCTACACAAGCATCATGTGTAGCTCCCAGTCCTCAACATCAGCTATAGATTGCTTCTGTCAGTGTGCCCCAGGGCAGCTGTGGCTACAGTTGTAATTTATCACCACCGTGTATGGAGTGCATGAATAATGACATGTGAAGAGTCCAGAAAAGCGCTGTATAAAACCAATGCATTATTATTATTATTATTCTGGCCTCTGATGCTAACTACTGTTGAATGTGCCTGATGATCAGAGCCCTCCTGTAGGATGCTGCGTCTGCCTCTTCCCCTCTGTCCTGGTGCTGGTGGTGGGCTGGCTCTTTGTCTGCTCCTGTGTGGGACACAGAGGGACATCTCACACTCAGACAATGGAGCAGGCACTCGGAGCAGAGAGGAGAGAGAGAGCCTGGGCACAAAGGGCTGCTTCTGCTATTGTGCCACATATAGACATATGTGAGGAACATGGCACTGGGCGGTGCATGCATTATTGTACAGTTAGTACTATACAGTAAAAGTTACATGCACTTTTACACGGGTAAACGGAAAAACACAATTGTTTTATTTTTATGGGTCACAAGAGAAAAAGATGCATGCAGAAGATATAGAGTTCATATTGACATATTTTTGGAATTTCTTGCACAGCACCTTAAACAAAAATAACACACACATACGCACACACCCACATAATGGTTGATCTACCATCTAATCAAGCGGCAGAGTGGAAGGTCTTTGCATCTCAGCAAGAAGGTCCAGGGTTTGACTATCACTAAAACATGCACCATGTTTAAAAACTTAACACAAAGTCAGAGTGGAGACAGTCGCATCAAACAATGTCATCGGGTTGTGTTTTTATTGCATCATATTAATCCATGTTGTATTGTTCAATTATGCTCAATCATGCTTTTAAATGTCTTGGTTATTGCATGAATCACAGAGATCATACTAGTGTCTGTACCTTAGTATGATCTCCCACTCCAATATATTCTACTGCATGTTCTTTATCTAATGGGCTGTTGATATCAGATATTTTGTAGTTGTGTTAGTTTAGCTGTTACCGAGGACATCTATGCATGTTTTGAATGGGCAAAGATTTTTTTTTTTTTCCATGCAGTTGTAGTTGTTTTAGGGATTTTTTAATAAGATACAGCTATGTAATGGGGAAATTCAACATAGTACTTCTTGTTTGGTAAATAGCAGTGTTGTTGAGAGGAATCCAAAGTTTATTCAAGATAACAGAGATTTAAGGGCAATGATGAGAAGCCTGTAGAAAGTCAAGGTCCCACAAAAACAGCAACTGCAGAAAACCAAATGCACATTTAGCCTTGTGCTTTGACTCATAACCAACAAGGCTGTTCTCTTCTTCTTCACAGAACTCTCAAAATAATGCCATCTTTATTTAGCAAAGCTCAGCCGTTCCTTTTTAGTTTTTCTTTCCACTGAACCCATTCAGACCGTTTGAGTGCAATATGCTTGTGGCCATGTTTTCAAGCCAGTGCCAGAGGTTTTAGAAAGACACTATTCTTTTGCATAGAGAAAAAACTGGGATCCAACGTGGTTTTAGTTAAATCGGACCAGGGAAGAATCAGGATCAGACGGAGATCAAGGGGAAAGTTTCAAATTCTAAATGAAACGTGTGAGAAAAGTGGGCAAAAGCTGCATTCAATTTTACCAGATGTTTGAGAGCAGCCTGGGTAGTGGTTGTTAAAATTATACACAAGCATTTTGTCATAATTGGATACTAAAAAAGCTGAGGTAAGCAGTTCTGTGGATGTCTGAGGATTCAGGTTAACTTGCAGTTACATGCATGACCGAGACCTATTACTAAAACCAGCCTGTGTCTCGTATTTATGTTTGTGTAATGGTGTATTCACCATTGTATTTATATTTCACATGCTGCCCTTTATTGTTGTCCAAGGTTATAGTTGTGAAGATGTAGAGGCTTCGTCCTAAACTACAGACATTTGAGTCTGTAAAGGTTTTCTTACTGGATTTGCACAAGGTTTCATCACAGAGATGCTTTGTACCTGGTTCATACATTCCAATCATTTCTCAATTTTCCCAAAATCAACAATTGTGTTTGGCTCTTTGTGTTCTCAGGTTTGAGAAGGGCAGGATCTACACCTACATTGGAGAGGTGGTTGTGTCTGTTAACCCTTATCGTGCCATGAACATCTACGGCCGCGAAATCGTAGAGCAGTACAAAGGTCGAGAGCTGTACGAGCGGCCGCCACACCTGTTTGCCATTGCTGATGCTGCGTACAAAGCCATGAAGAGGAGAAACAAAGACACTTGTATTGTCATCTCAGGTAACAGGGAAGCCCCCTGCACTCGGCTCACAGCAACTATTTTACTCAGAGCGTCTGTTCAGGAAGGAAAACGCTGGTCTCATGTTGACATGTAAATGATGTAATCCCAAGACTGAGGCCTCTGGGAAAACATACAACCACATGCAGTTAAAAATATCTGACTTGCCCCAAAGCCATGTGGCACCAAGCTGCATGGTTCATACAAAACACGTGATATAGCGCCACTCAGTGGTCAAATATGGTAAATAGTGTTAAGCCATAAAGAGGTCATTCATGACGAGTGTTTGCTCTTTTACAGGGGAAAGTGGAGCAGGGAAAACAGAGGCCAGCAAGTACATCATGCAATACATCGCTGCTATCACTAATCCTAATCAAAGGGCTGAAGTCGAAAGGTACGTTCTGCTGGTGGTATCTTCATAAAGGTTCCAGCTTAAATATTGATTTCTAAAATATAACTGAAAAATATTTGCTACATCCAAAGTCAATGTTAAGATAAAGTATGGCATCAGAATTATTTAGTTAAAAATAGAATACTCCCCCTTTATAGTGTTTGTTATGGACCATGTATTATGGGTTGTGCCTTTAAACTAAGCTATAAAAAATAATATTTTTTCAAGGGTAAAAAATATGCTGCTTAAATCCAATTGCGTCCTGGAGGCCTTTGGAAACGCCAAGACCAACCGTAATGACAACTCCAGCCGCTTTGGCAAATATATGGACATAAACTTTGATTTCAAAGGTGATCCAATTGGAGGACACATCAGTAACTACCTGCTGGAGAAGGTACACACTGTAATTATACAAGTTGTTGATGTTGTTGGGCTGACCAGATTCTCTTATTTTACATTATCTCAACAGTCCAGAGTCATTTTCCAACAAGAAGGAGAGAGGAGCTTCCATTCTTTCTATCAGGTAACGGACGTTACAATGTATTAAACACATTTAAACTTTCACCCCCGGCTATGCATCATAATGTTTGGGGCTAAAGTTATAGGTCTCTGCTGAAGTGCATACATATTCTGTAATAAGAATTGTTATATATTGCTTGAATATTGTTTATTTTATTATGACAAATTAAGTGCCATTGTATAGATAAGGTATGCCTTTAATGTTTTAAAACTAAAATAATCTCTCTTTTTCTCTCTAGTTACTCAGAGGTGCTCCAGAATCCTTACTCCGATCTATACACATCCAGAAAGACCCAAAAGCTTACAATTACGTCAAAGTCGGGGGCCAGATAAAGGTATTTTATGTTATTTTCTTTCATGTTTATCTTATTGTGAGTGTTCAGATTAGTTTATTAATATTATTTGGATGGCCACTTCTGATACACACATTTAATAGCTACTCAGAATGATAAGCCACAAAAGTAGTGCTATAAAGTCAGATTTGCTGATGCAGTTTTGCTCAAAGCGCTGACTCGGCTCTTTGGGGTTTGTGTTGGCGATGATGTCAGGTGTTTGTTAGTGTCAAGTGGTTTCCAGGCCCATTATGTGGATGCAAAAACAGCAGCATGAGGCACGGCACGTCCAAATGATCTCCCTGTGACTCCTAACCCTGCACAGATGCTGGTAATCACAGGTGTAATGACTGCTTTCCAACGCCTGACACAATACTTCAACTACAAAAACAAATATGTTTCCAAAAATGTCGTTCTTGTATAAGCTTGTGGGGAGACATCTGCGAGTCGTGCCGTCTGCAAACAAAAGAGCCAGACAGTTTATTTCCCCCCTCAGCCACATAAACACATGTGCAACTGCTGTAAAGGCACTCTGAAATATCCCCCGTGTTATTATCCCCCATATCATTACTAGTTTTCATCTTTAAGTTGGACAAAAACAACACAGTAGTAGTAATACAAATAGTCTTACTCATACTTGTTTTGCTAACCTATTGATATTGTCAATGTTTTTTTTGTAATTTCTGGATCTGAATTGCTTACTGGCAATACTTTTCTGAATCCATTTGTCCCTTTTGTAGTCGGGCATCAACGATAACGCAGACTTCAAAGCCGTGGCCGATGCCATGAAAGTGATCGGCTTCACAGGGGACGAGATCCAGACGGTTTATAAGATCCTGGCCACCATCCTGCATCTGGTATGGCTCGATAAAGAAGCACCCTCAGAAAATCAAATGTACACGTTTATTTTTTATTACCGGAAGATGTGGTGTCCAGTTTTCAAATGGTGACTCTAAATCATATTCACATTCAAGCACACAATAGTGGAGGCAATCAGTTCTCATCCCTGAGCCTATATTGTGTAAAAATGTTTTATTTTGTGTAATTGTAATGTGGGCTTTAAAATGTTTAAATTTTAAATCGTTATGAAACATCAACACATTTAGATTTAAGTATGTCTTTTAGTATTATCTTGTCCTCTGTATGTAAAGCAGATTGTGTGACATCAATCTGTCAAATACACAACATAAATAAAGCTTAGTAACTGCCTTTGTCTTAATGACAAGAACGTTCTGCAGGAATCTTTTGACCAGCATCATTCTTTCACACGTATCATTCTTCAAACAGTGTCATGTGCAAATAAACATTATAACAATACAATTTTTCCTGATTGGACCAAGGATAGTGCCAGTTTATTTTTCTTCTCCGAGAATCATCCAGTGATTATTGTTGTAATATTAAAGGATGTTTTCTATTTTCAGCCTAAAACACTACATTTTCAAAGACTGTTTTTCAGAATTTTTCATGTTTTTGAGCTTGTGTATGAACCATAAGATTAGTTAGTAAGATTAGACACAACAAAGTATCCTCCATTTTTCACAAATTTAGGTTGACTGTTAATCCAGATGTAAATACTTCTGTCTGATTGTGACTTCCTCCTCAGGGAAACCTCACCTTTGGAACGGACGGGGACGTGACGCTGATCGAGAACTCGAAGGTGGTGTCTGTTCTCAAAGATCTCCTCTCCACCAAAGAAGAGAACGTAGAAAAGTCCCTTCTTTATCGCACTGTGGCCACTGGACGTGATGTCATTGAGAAGCAGCACACAGTACAAGAGGCCAGCTACGGACGGGATGCTCTGGCCAAGGTTTCATTTCTTTGAATTTATTCTGTACATCAAAGGTTGTGCGTGCTTCCTCCTTTGCTTCCGGATAGTGTAGCCCACATGAGTCACAGTGGCTTGACTCTACGCGGAGGGCGGATGGGAGGTGTGTGGGCAGGATCTAGGCCACTGCTTTGGGTCAAAACTATTATTACTCATTTCTGTTTACGTGCAAGTTAAGCCTCAAGAACAGTTAAAACGTTTGGTACCATAAATTGTTTTGTTTCTAAAGGAAGGTGTGATGTGGATTATTGATTCTTTAGGAGTTTTTTCAGAAATGTGTGAAACAGATGAAATGTGTAACTCTAACACTATGACGGAGAGACGACTACTAAAATCAATAACAGAAAATGAAAAAGAAAAGTAAGAAGAGTAGGGAAACGTGACTGTGTAGAAAGCCCCCTGACTCAGGAGCCACATAGCAATAAATTATGTTCAAAATAGTTTTTATCTTTATTTTTGGCATTTATATTTTTAAGTATTTCATTTTGGAATAATAGTTCATGGTAACAATTTTATTAGGAGGATAATAGCTGAAAAGGTGACTGAGAAATGCAATGTTCCATGTGTCCAGCAGGAGGCGCTGCATCCCACCTCTGGCCTGTGCTTCATTTGTTTTTATGCCATCAAACCTTTGCTTGTGATTACAGGCCATGTACGAGCGTATGTTTTGTTGGATTGTGAGTCGAATCAACGACATCATTGAAGTAAAAAACTATGACGCTAATATCCATGGGAAGAACACAGTGATCGGGGTGCTGGACATATACGGCTTCGAAATCTTCCAAAACAACAGGTCAGAAAGTTTGACTCCTGAGATGGATCTTACTATTTACTTACTATACTTTTGTTTCAGTTTTGAGCAGTTCTGTATAAACTACTGCAATGAGAAGCTGCAGCAGTTGTTCATCCAGCTGGTGCTGAAGCAGGAGCAGGAGGAGTATCAACGAGAGGGAATCCCATGGAAACATGTAAATACAGCTTATATCTATGTTTTTGTGTTCACTTAACTTTAAACTGTATTAAAGCCTGGTGACTGTTGTTTTTCACAGATCGATTACTTCAACAATCAGATCATCGTGGATTTGGTGGAGCAGCAGCACAAAGGGATGATCTCAATCCTGGACGAGGCCTGCATGAATGTGGGGAAAGTCACAGACGAGGTTTTCCTTCAAGGACTCAACGGAAAACTGGCTAAACACGCCCACTACACCAGCCGTAAGGTCAGAGTCACTCTATCATATCAAAGTAAATGTTCCAACGACAGGAGACATGTGTAGTGCTGTCAGTAATGCATGGGGGTGTTCAGACTGATCCAAAATCAATATGTTCTATATAATACGTTTTTTAATTTCTCACCCCTTATTATCAGTTGTACTTCTTTGAACATCTCCGTATGATTACTGTATATCAGTGTAATGGCTGTTTGTTCATTTTTATGTTTTGTCACCATTGGACCTTATGTGGGCAGATGGAAACGTTGTTGAGACTGATATGAATAGAACTTAGCAGTATTTTTGTTAAACCCGAAAATGAAGGAGGACACACAAATTAATGATATTTTTACTGCATAATTGAAGCACGTAAAGTTACAGTAGAGTTGTAGTTTTCCTTGTGGGCACTAGGGGGCGTCAGATGTCCAAGCTATGTTCTGTGATTCTGACTTGACACTTTGCTCAAATGATGTCACTTGCAGCCAATGAAGGTCTATGGGGCTGGTGCTGCTCAGTGTTGTGAGACCAGGAATATATTTAGCACTTGGAGTCCTATGGTCGTTACAGATTTATGAGGCTGGAGGAAAACCGGGCGGTCAGGAGCGGAGAAACCAGTGATGCTGCTGAAATGAATGGAGCGCTGGGCTAGTGCTCAACCGTGTATGTCCTCGGGCGAGACGGATAAAAATACACGTTGCAACAGGCTGGAGGCGAAGAAGCTTTCAAATGTTGCCTTGTTTGTTTTGTATCCAATTTAAGACAAGCCGATGAGATGTATATATTTGAGATGTCCCTGAATTTTTTTTAGGTCGTGTAAAAAAAGTTACAATTATCTGTTTTTTTGTTGTTGTTTTTAATTACAAGGTACCTACATGTTTTTGTCTCAGCAAAGTGATGTAAAAGTAAAAAGTTGTGAATGAGTCAGATAAAAAAAATTGGTTTTCACTATTTTGCAGAAGAAAAAGCCATGTGAGTTACTATTTGACTATTTGGGGTGATTGGCTGAAGTCTTCTGTCTGTAAAAGCCAATCTAAAAATGTGACTAAGGAAAAAAACACAAACTAGTGAAAACCCAACTAACCAAACTAAGCAACTAACTAAGGGATTTTATTACACGGTTCCATTTATTGTAGCTTGAAAGTTGGGTAGACTTTTTGTTTTACTGTAGACAAAGCCTTCATCTTTCCGCACTACATTATGGAGGCTCGCATGGTTCTGAAGGAAGTATTGATCGGAGAAGCTTTTCTTAGTCGATTCTCCTCCTGCTGCTGCCCTGATCTCTGACCCTCGCACACATCTGCTGTTTCCTGCTGCATCCAACTTTTGGGCAGATCAATAATAATGTTGATCGCTGTGTCGCACCGAAGCCAGAGTCGGATTTAAGTTTGCAATATGGAATCTAATCAGGTGCATTTAATAACTCTATGGATGGATTTATTTATGATATGTGCTCATAATCTAATAATTCTATGAGCTTTGTTGTGTTTAGGCGTAAGTTTTTTGCTGGTAAAGAATCGTTGTTAATGGGAGTGAGATAATATGGTTGGATTTCTCAGTTCAAATTAAATATGGTGAGTGGGAGATTAGAATCAAAGTGTCATATTTTTGGTTCATTGGTTCTTTGTATTATTCTCTCTCATGTTCTCTCACAGCTAGCCCTTTTCAGCAGCGTAACATACAGGAAATGCTAAAACATAGATTTGTAGTTTTTTTTTCTCAAATAGGAATGAATATATATAGATTTCTTTTGATATTTTGACTATAACAATTATGAGACACTTATAATGGATTATGTTTTCTAATAATCATAAATCTGACTTATTGTAAATCTGCGCAATACACAATGACTTGTGTATTGCGCAGTTCATACACAAGTCAACTCAAAGTGCATTAAAATCATAAATGTCACAGTACATTAAGAAGAGTAAAGATACAAACCATTAGTTGTATGCAGCTTTAACCTAGATTTGAACAATGTCAGAGAAGAATCCTGTTTCACTATGAGATTTCAGAAATTTAAATCTGAAACGATGCTTCCCCATGTGTAGTTCTGACTCTCGGCACTTGCAGGAGGCCAGTCCCTGTGCTCCTCAGAGTCCGAGTTGGTTCCAATGGCATTAACATGTCACAGATGTATTTGGTGCTTGGCCATAGAGAGACTTGTACAGAGGCAGAATTGATTTAAAGTTTGTTGTCTGAGCCACAGGAAGCCAGTGCAGAGACCTGAGAACGGGACTAATGTGATCGTACTTCCTGGTTCTAGTCAGGACTCAAGCTGCAGTTGTTTTACAGCTCTTTTGGTCTTTTGGCTCTCTCTCTTTACAGTAGTCTAAGCTACTGGAGACAGATGCATAGATTCGAATCTATACAAGTCTGCTTTAGACACTATTTTTCAAATATTTAACCACTGCATTATACAAACCCTGAACAATCTGCAACAGTTTAAGGGGTGATCTTTGTGTGTTAGCTTTATCAAATGTGCGTTTAACTTTCTTTTAATGAGGATGACTCACTAAGGAGCTGAAATAATTCTATGCATCTTGTTACATTTATTGTGAGAAAAAATCAGCAGTAGAAGCAGACTTCCATAATTTGCTGAGCTAGAAGTTGTTTCCATCAGGTTACTTTGATCTTCCAGGCATTCTAAGCAGTACTTGACGCTGACGCATCCGTTTCTGTAGCTGCACATGTCACGCTAAGTGAAGAGAGTCCTCTAAGTGAACTTATTCTCTTCCTTTTGCTTCCTTCTTCCATACAGTCACGTTTTAACTCTATTTCGCACAGGTGCTCAGTACAAAGGTATAGTGAGCTCATGTCTCTCTTACACGCATTAGCACAGCACATGTCTGAGTGCATGTGGCGAGCGTGCATGGGGCATCCATGTGAGAATGACGCTGAACACTGTGACACCGAGAGGGGGAAGGTCAGGGAGAAGGAAGGTTGCACTCTGAGACACAGGTTAACAAGCGCTGAGTGCATCCATGTCTTTGACGAGAGAGCAGTGGGTTATTTTTCACTCTGTTTAAAAAGAAAAACAAGTACATCAGACAAGGACATACTGTGATTAAATTAGAACTTCAACAGTTTAGAGGGAAGACATTCAGGGCCTCGCACGTTCACAAAGATCGAGTACTTCCATCACATGAAATCCATCTAACTTCCAAACAGTTTTGTTCTATCACTAGTTGGGAAGAACCAGCCCTCACACAGCTTTACTATTTATATGTATGTTTTAGACTGGAAAACCCCATGTTGTGGTGGGATTTGTTCACCTTATGTCACTTAAACAAGACTCTGTTGGAACACAATGTATTAATGAAACAAACCAAATAAGTGTTTTTTAATTCAAACGTTAGGAAAGGCATGGTTTCCACTTAAAAAAATAATCTTACTGTTAATGACGTATTGATTACAATGACAAACAAATTACTCAAACCTAGATCAATGATTTATTGACTAAAACAAATGGAAATGTTTGCTCAATGCTTGACACATTGCAATTTTTTATTTACCCTTTCGTGGTCACTGGACATATCTCTCTCTGTTTGCCAGAGTAGTGCATCTGGTCACTGCAGCTGCCAGTGGGCACAAAACTCCAAATCCATGTAGTTGTCTGTGGCGCTGATCCACTCATCTGGTCTCGTTGTGGATTCGGGACAGTTTTTCGGAGGGGAGAGCTTTTAAGGCGGTCTGCTGGGACTCTTGGCTGAAATCCTTGTAGATCACTACTTAGTCCTAGAGCAAGGCACAGGTTTGTTTCCAGACAAAAAAAACGGACAAACAATTACATTTAGGGAAATCAACGCTTGTTCAACGCAAACCACTTAAGGCTGTATACTTTATTTTCCCCGTAAGGTAATATGTCCTCTGCATTTGAGCCCTCCTTCCAATGCCACTAAAGCGACCTGTCAGGAGCCAATATGAGACCCTAACCTTTGGAACTTCTGTTGTCTCAAAATCTAAATTATGAATTATGATGTGCGAAGTGTGAGACGGATAGCTGTAACTTCCTGGTGACAATGACAAACTGCGAGCACAATGTGTACCCGATAGATTCAAAACAACACCATCATATTTTCACCATCTCCTTCCGTCTGCCGCCATTGCACCATCTCTCACCGTTTCTAATAAGATTTGATCCATGCTATCACTTCCACTCATAGGGAAAAAGTTGACTCCTTTTGGATTAGCTGCTAATGCATAGACAATTTTTCAATAATCTGCAGTGTGTTGAGACCAAGCTGTGCGCAATTTAGTGATTCAATTCAATGATCACTTTGTTATTTATTATATTTAAGTTGGGATTGGTAATGTTATCCATCTCACTAGTTCCTTGTCATAAAGCAGTTCACTACTTTTCACATCCCTCTGTCATATATTTAGATCAGCCTTTTTGCAGACATAATAGTCTTTCAGCCTTTAGCGTAAAATAATGACTCACAGGTTCATTATGATGAAAAGATAACACGTTTTCTAAGGCAGCATGTTGTGGTCCTATTTGTGTGTGAAAAGGATAGGTACCCCAGATTTATTTCTTCAATTAATTCATGCTTCCTGTGTGTTTGTTTTTATCTCTTGTCGTATGCACACAAGGTCAACTATTAATCCGTTATTGACTCATTTTGAATATTGCCTCAATGTGAGATTATTTTTCTATTGCATGTTTTACACACAAAAGGCTTTATAAGGGACGGAGATACTTAAAACTGAGATGTATTTAAGTGTGAGGTGATGGAGAGAGAGTATACTTACCGTCAGTTCCATCTGTTGCCAGCAGAGGGCTTCACACTTCTCCTCCCAAGCTGCATATAGTGTGAATAATGGCTGCTCAAGAACTCCCATACAATATCTACAAACACTGACAATACATTTGTGATTTTTACTGTAAGAACAACTAGAATGCAACTTGTATAAAACCAGTTCACCAATTCATAGGGATGACGGAGAGCTTTGTTTAAACCCTTGGAGGAGAGCCTGTGTCTGGATCTGAGCCTGAATCAGACTTGGCCACTGCTACTATTTATCTGACTGGTGCCAAACGTCATGAATTCATATATAAACAAAACATAGATAAAGCTTTCTGGAATAAAATCCTTTTTCATTTTCTTATTAGCATTTGTACTGGATTTATCTGTCTTTCCAGTACCAGATATTTTAAAAAGACAGTGTGTTTTTACAGGTATTTATGTACAGAACACAGATATACACATTTATTGTCTTATATCATATATTCTTTGTCTTGTTGGATTTGGCAGTGTTGTGATGCAATTTTATCAACTAGCTGATGGTGACATACCTATTTTATTAACTTTTTTCAGACTCACGTTGCGTTGGAAATTCACAATAATGCATACATTCTTTTTATTTTACATTATGGTTTTGCCGCGTGGTCTTGGCCTCGATACAAATGTGTCTTGGAGTGTTACTGTTTTGGATGAAGACCCCATGGCTCCCTGCAGATTCAGTCTGTCCATCGAGTGAAGCATCTGTTTCTCTTTTGCTTTGAACTTAAATTGTATTTCATTTTTAAAATAATGTATTTTTCTGACTCTACACTCCACACCGAAAGACCCTGGAAGTGTAATTGAACCCGGAACCTTCTTGCTGTGAAGCACAAGTGCTAACCACTGCACCAATGTACTGCCTATATTAGCTGGAAGCTAAAAGATATCCCAAGATATGCACCAGAGTACACCCCCAGTTCAGGTCTTGCAAATGCACTTTTTGGAGACTTTCTAACAGTGTAGCAGACTGTAATTTCCTACAGAGATCCCAAAATAGTCTTTTTATTAGAGGAATTTGTCTTTTTAACAGCTTTCCCTTCCCCTTTGTTCGGAGTAAATTACCATCCAGCAATAAAACTAGTGAGAGAAAAGTGCTGCGATGCATTTTGGGACCTTTCAGTGTATTTATATCTATATGTATTGCCTCATAGATTCTTAATTTTTATTGTTTGGAGACAACCAAACTCTATTGAAAAATCACTGAAATATATGTAGTATATCCAGCCTCGCCTTTATTAAACATGGTCTTACAGTATTATGATAAAAACATATTTGTCACCAAGCAGAGAAATAAAAGTATGCATTTATACATTGCATTATAAGGTCTAATTTGGCATAGTACAAATACAAAAGAGTGTTTAGTGTTTAGTTTCTTCGAAATACAAGCCTGGTGTTCTTGTGAATGAATGTGTTCAAAGGAGGTGACTCATTGGCTTTTCACACAGAAGGAGAAAACAACAACTCAAGTCTTCAACCTCAGAAGTAGCTCATTGGTCTTGCTTCTTTCCTTTTTTGTCATGTAAATACCAACCAACCCCGGGCTTCCCTTTTCCTCCTGTCACTCCACATTATATTTTGATTCAAGTCCCAGGAGTAAACGGAGCTCCTTCCTCTCCTTGTTGTCGACAGCTTTAATCTCAGACAGTGCACCCAGCTCGCTTCTCTCTTATGCTAATGACTCCATTAGTATGTGCTGCTGTATTTGCCGCTATAGAAGCTGCAGCGTGAACACATACGCCGTCAGCTTATATACAAAGACCAAGACTCCTAAGTAAATGTGGTGGAACTGGGTCTGTTGATTAAAGATGGACTTTGTAACCTTTGGAGGGGTCGTGGAGTTCTGCCACCATATTGCTTTCTTTACCACGTAATACTGTTAAACATAAATATTTGCAAAGATACTTGATACCAAATGGATGGACTGTTTGCCATACTGTAAACATGAGACTGATGTGAAGCAGAAATGACCAATCAATACGAATTTAATGCAATTCAAAGTTAATGGCTGCCAAAATGTATTTTTAGTCTGTGCCTAACATAATTGCCTCTTTTAGTATTTGTAGTTTCATTTGAACCAAAAACCTGAAAATGACAGGAGCCAAAGGGCCTCATTAGTGTCACACCTCGTCTGTGTGATCTCATATGCCGCGTACAGTGGGCTCATTATTGAACTCAGATTTGTAAGTGTCTTCTCCAACACTTTGAATTATTTTGTGTTTTATAATCCCTTTAGGGGAGTTTGCATGCTCTGATGATCCTCGGAGTTATGTTGTGGTGAAGAGGGAGCTCAGTCGAAATGCGAAGGTCTCAATTTATCGGTTCAATCTACGTTTCCACCTTAACCTATGGTCATTAGACAAATTCATGACCACAGGTGAACAGAGTGGAAACGTAGATTCTGATAAAAGCTGCCAAAATGAGTTTGCTCTGCGCAGTGGCTCAGTGCTCCCTCATAGATGGGGTGAGGAGCCCAGTCACTTGGGAGGAGCTCGGTGTAGATCCGCTGCTTCTCCATGTAGAGAGGAGCTGCTTGATGTGACTCGGTTTCAGAGTCTGTCTTTTGTTTTTTTTGGTGTGAATTAATCCTTTCATTGAGTGTTTTTCATGAAACCATTGTGGTCTCTTTCTGCAGTTGGCACCAACTGACAAGACGTTGGAGTTTGACAGAGATTTCCGCATCAGGCATTATGCTGGAGATGTCGTGTAAGTCATCTCAAACATTACAACATATTTTTACAACAAACCAATCATAACATTCCCCACATTTGAACTATATTCATAGACTTTATAGAGTGGGTTTATAAGTGGTTAAAACTGAAAGTAATACACACCTGGACGTCTTGGTGGACTGCATGCTTCAGTCTGCGTCACCAGAGCTTCATAAACACACACTGATTTATTTACACAGTCAGAAATACAACCCCTCTCGCACTTCTCTTGCACTTGACATCCTTTTAATGAATAAACCACGGCTGCTCAGCCTCCAAAAAGTGCTTTTGGGGCCCGTGTTGAGCTCTTGTGCAGTGAGTGTGTGGGCCCCTGGGGACAGTGGGGGTAGTGGAGCAGGGACTGGGGCTGTTGATGGATCTCTGAGCCACTTACACAGAGCAGGAGGCTAATACCCCTTTACCTCAGCAGGGGTCATTACGGCTCGGTTATTAAGACGGCTTAATATGGCAGAGGCTGTTGGCTTTTAGACCGACTTATATCACAGTTAATGGTGTACGCAGTAGAAAAAATATATTCTAACAACATCATGATCATTTTCAGCAAATTTAGTTCTGTGATTATTTGGCAATGGGATTTTAATGTAACATGATGTGTTGAATGTGATATTACCATTTTAGTCAAATGTATTATGTTTATTATCTTGCTTAAAAATCATCTGATGTCCTTTTGAATTATAACAAAAGAACCCAAATAGAAGCATAACCCACTGATGAGGGTAAAAATTATAACAAAACATTATTGAACATTTTAAATTATATGTAGTTTCCAAAAAAGTATTGTAGCTGGAGCAACACAGTGGTTAGTCTGTGGCCTCTCAGGAAGCCATTATCTGGACAACATGAATAATGCCACTTATAGAACCAAAACTCAGACCATACATGTATTTCTATTCCAGTTCAGGCTTTGGCTTTTAACAGTGTACACAAAGTGAGTTTGCGTTGACCTGACCTCCTCCTCTTCTCCTGTAGGTACTCAGTGGTTGGTTTTATTGATAAGAACAAAGACACTTTGTTCCAGGACTTCAAGAGGCTGCTCTATAACAGGTTTGCCCCCAAGACCCTCTTCTCTCTCTCACACACACACTTTTCCACTGCTTCATACTTTGATTACATTACTGCATGAACGACATTGGCCAGAGCTCTTCTGTGGCACTCAACCCACTCCCAACATCGACACATAACAATGTAAATGTGTGGACTATGACACAAGATAAGATAAACCTTCATTCGTCCCTGAGTGGGGAAATTTCAATGTCGTAGTTGTGCACATTACAGCAGAATAGAAGAAGAAATAAGTGAAATGAACAGGCTCATGCTAAAATGTAAATATTCAGGCATAATGTTGGTCACACAGCATAATAGCGGCATGGAAATGGCCTGAAAATATCCTGTTAACTAACTAACTACAAAGCATTTGTCACGTCAGTTTAACAACAACAAAATATACAGAATCTTTGTTACTTTTATTAAATTATATGGAGAGCCATATATATATATCTATTGGTCTGTAATAAGGAGATGATCATAATAGGCTTTCATCAAATTTTTTAGATTAGATGGTGACAATTCTGTATGTTTGTATATGTAATGAAGGTGTGTCTTTTGCCCAGTTCCAACCCTGTGCTGAGGGGGATGTGGCCGGAGGGTAAGCTGCGCATCACGGAGGTCACGAAGCGGCCTCTGACAGCAGCAACACTCTTCAAAAACTCCATGATCTCACTGGTGGAGAACCTGGCCTGTAAGGTACGCGGAACCATTCTGCTAATATCCAGATTTATAATTCACTGTCATTTGTAAAATAAAGTGTACAAAGGGGATGTTAAATAATACTATAGAGTCAAAGCTCGGAAAATTTTAATATTGTTCAAATTTAGTCCATTTAGTGTGAAGCTAATATATATTAGTGAAAGATCAGAGCACAATTTGTACCATTGATTAAATATGAATTCTGAAAGCACTACTATTGTAATATTCTTAAATGTGTCATGTTCTAGGAGCCCTATTATGTGCGCTGTATCAAGCCAAACGATGTGAAGTCTCCGCTGTTGTTCGAGCACCAGCGCTGCCAGCACCAGGTGGAGTACCTGGGGCTGCTGGAGAACGTCCGCGTGCGAAGAGCCGGCTTTGCATATCGCCAGACGTACCCTCGCTTCCTGCAGAGGTATAAAATCATCATGTGACCAACATATACTGTGCTCAGAGTAGTAGCCCACAGAAATAAATCCTCTCCAGCTCATGATCTGTTGTTGGGAAAGACACCTCACAACCTATGTTTTTATAAACTGTGCTAGAGAATGCAGGGGCGGCAACTATCAATCCACGTCAGAGCATTTTTGAGAGAATGAAGGGCTAATGCATGCAGTTTTGCATAAGAGATCTGGTAATTTGCTGTTATGGAGTCACAAAGAAAAGATAAAGAAAAAGGGGCGGCACGATTGCGAGTGATTACTGTACATCTCAGTCCTGGGTACCGCAGATCCCAATATATTATTTCCCTTTTATCCTTTTGGTTTTTGTGGATGGTTGGTTCAGTATTCACTCCTAAAAACAGTTGTTATAATAATCATGCATTGGTTTTATATAGTGTTTTGGTCATGCTTCACTCGGTGGTGATTAACTACTATTGGAGCCACAGCTTCCCTAGACTGATACCTGGTGTTCCCAAAGGTCTCCCATCACAGTACTATTTTACTTTTTCATCATTATACATTAACCGTAGAACCTAAAATTTGTCATGATTTAGTTGAAAATTGAAGTTTATATGGTCAAGTCAAAAATATCTTTCTGAACAGTTTCTTTTGAAGCTGTACACTGACTGTGACAGTCAGACAAATTTGTGTTACATCATCCTAAAGAAGCTTTTTTATTGAGTCCTGACGCTAATCAAGCATCCATTGGCACAACAACATACCGCACGCAGCACTGTTTGAAGTGCAACAGCGATTGTAATGTTCTTATACACACCACTTGACCCAAACAGAATAAGCCGTGTACTCTCTGTAGAAATATGCCCTTTTTATTCATGTTGCACAGAATATATAACCTAATACATTTAACACATATTTTCCTATTTATGTTTCTTTATTTTGAGATATTGATGTCTTTGATAACTAGTAAACCACATAAAGAAACACTAGAAAAGTAGTTCAAGCCATTGGTGCATTCCGTGCATGTCCCGGCCACCAACTGACCTCGACAAGCAACACGCTGTACCAACACAGAAGATTAAGTAATGAGTTTTTGCATAATCTCTCATCTGGTGCCAATCCCCCTTGGTTGGTGTGTCTTTGGACTTACATCACACACTCCGCCGTGGGCCAGTGGGAAGTGACAAGTAATGACATCTTTTTCCTCTTCTTGGGGATAACGCTTTCTTTCAAATGGTGTTCGTTACGTCTGAGTGGGATCGTTAAAGTCACTCATTTACAATCTCTCACAAATGTAATCTCTGCTCTCTGATGTCTCTGAATTTATTTTCGTAATAGCCCTAAATCACAACAGCTGTCAAGGGGGACTTTACAAAGTTGTCGATTTGCAAACACTGAGAATAATACACAGGAAACGCATATGACCAATTTCCACAGATGTAAAAAAATAAAAGACCATACATTGCTTTTAATAATAATTCTAATTTTAATGCATCATATGGCGCTTTTTGGACACTCAAAGCCGCTTCGGATGTCCCTAGAGTGGCTCAATGGTGATATAGATTGAAAATGTTGTTTTATTGACTGAATATATGGCTATCCACTAATGATGACTGAAGAAAGGGTTTTGTGTCATCATCCATAATCTCCAAAATCTGCCTTAAACAATAACATCTACTCTGAATGCGCCTTACCTTTTCATTACAGTTATGGATACAAATGTTTTCACACACATCATATTTGTTTCAGATACAAGATGATCTCAGAGTTCACTTGGCCGAACCACTCCCTGGGTTCAGACAAAGCCGCAGTGAAGAGTCTGCTGAAGTCCTGCGGTTTCGAGCACGACGTCGCCTACGGTAACACCAAAGTCTTCATCCGGACTCCGCGGACTTTGTTCAGCCTGGAGGAGCAGCGCGCAGAGATGGTCAAGAGGATCGTCCTGTTTCTGCAGAAGGTGAGACTGACGACTTGTGTCTTAGTACAGGTCGTGCGTGACGTGTGCAATTCTGCCGATGTTTAAGCACATTTTAAGCACACTATAATAGCCCAAATGAAATCCATGCAAAGTACCTTGCTCTGATATAACAGTTTAGTTTTATCACCAGTTTTCACATGCATATATTTGACCTTTAGCTTTTTTAGATCAAAAACAATAAAAGCTTCTTAGGCCAAAGCTTCAAGTGGTGACTCATGGGACTATTTCTTATATGTATGCAAAAAATTGATTTTCCAAGACGGCATGTATTGATATGAATTGTTATATTGGGACACAGCATGCATCATTTATGGCAATATATAAACAATATATACATGGATCCTGCCTGTTGTGCCACTGACATAATCCTTATGTAGATCATCGTGCCTTTTTCTGTAGCAATCTCACACTTCGTTCATCGTTCATCTCTGATTCATAATGTCAATACTCCCACAGGGGTTTTTCTTCTGTTGATTTCCACTTAGATGACTGTGATCAGACGCCTACCACACAGTCATAAAAAGATGTAATTTATAATGAATCATGTCCACATAAAAATTCAGCTTCTTCAGTCAGTGTTCCAATAACCCCTCACGTCTGATTAGCCAGGCCGCGACATAGTTCTGAGCCTCTCGTTTGAAACCCTTTTCTGTATTTCTTTATGAACGACTCTTATCTCACACTGTGCCCAGTGTGATCATCTCTCATGCTTTTTACTTAAGGATGTGAGTTTTTTCTAATTTAGTCTGGTTTATTTTAATATCACAACTCAAACATCAGAATTTTAGTGACAAGATTTGTCAGTTTTTGATAATCACTATTAGTGTATATAACAGTAATGCATTTTATTCATATTCACCTTTATAAAACCTCCAAGGTCAGCATTGTCACAACTATAAAGAACATGTACAATACAGTGGTCCTTTGTTTATTGCAGGGGTTTTGTTCTAAAAATAAGTGAGTATTTCGTTATTAAGTAGCAGCTAGGCTGTAAACCCTTCACCACACACTTTAGACACTTTATTCACTTTTCTCACTACTTGAACGTACGGATCGCAGAGATATCCAACTCTGAGCGGTACTGCAGCTGTCAAAAGCCATGCATACACTGTAAAATACAACTTCAGAGGACATCACGCTGAGGGGCAGGAGCAGGACTGAGAGCTACGAGAAGACCTCCTCTGAACTAATAACGGTGGTGCACACAAGCCACAAAATGTTTCTTTTGACTTTAGATGAAGGTAACTGTCAAGTTATACCAGCAGTTATTTGATGTTGTAGTAAAAATTGCACACACAAAAATGTGCTAAACTGCAAGGCCGCTAAAGGTGATCGGCGGCATAGTGAGGGACCACTGTACAATATGAATGATACAAAATTAACAAGAGAGCAATTCTAAAAAGGTGGCTTGAGTCGTGAAAAGAGACTGACCCTCTGAGATTCATCTGAGGTCAGGGAGGAGAGAGGTTTGGGGCTGAGCAGGTGATGGCTCTGTCTCCCATGGCGACCAGGCGGGAAGAGGGGACGGTGAGCTGCAGAGCGGCTCAGGAGCAAAGTGAGCGAGCGGGAATGGGAACATGGAGGAGGTCAAGAGAGATAAAGGCGTCAGGTCTTTGAATGTGAGAACAATGTTATATCGTATGCATTTATTGATATGGAGCCAGTGTAGTCTTTGGAAGGCCAGAGGGATGTGCTGAAGAGTAGGGATTTGGCGATAATTTAGGTGTTTTGGACAACATGAAGTCTGTGGAGTTAGGAAATAATATCCATGAGAAAACATGAATAATTTACGCATGCATTTGTGACATTTTCCCGTTTCATTTGGCAGTTTGTTGTCAGCTCTGCAAAGTGCCGGTTTTCTTGTTTTGCCGTCACCTCGAGAAGTGATTTTCTGCGTTGTTATTATTGTGACGACTTGACATGTGTCAGATTGGCACCAGGGGAAATGTCTCGGTGAGAGATGAAATGTTTGGTCCAATTAAATGCTCTTTACAATTCTCTGGAAGGTTTCTGAAGAGCAGCTTTGATGGAAAGACAGTCTGTGATCCATGATGGTATTTGTTTGCTTATTAGATTAGTATTTGTGAGCATTTGAAGGCTGAGAGTCCTGACTAGCAGTTTTCAGATGCCAATTGCCAGATTATATACAGTATATGATCCGAAATCTACGAATGCAAATTTTAATGATCGACAATTACAAACATTGCAAGTATTGAAAGATGGCAAAGACAGGACAACGAGAGGATCTTGCCTTAATCGTTAGAAAACTTTATTAGAAATGTTAGACAGACAGTCTAACATGTCCCTAAAATGCTATTGCCTCCTGCAGCAACCTACACATATTCTAAAATTATAGAGAACATCTAATCTAATCTTGTCAACAGTAACTATTGGCTGTGCTCTTTATTTACTTTTAGAGGCACCAAATAACAGCATTTTCCAAATTCATATTTTTTACTACCAGAGTATTCAATGTGATACATTCTTTGACACTATGAGGCGTTCATGTTCTCCGCTCTCAGACAAATTAACTCCTGCATTTATTGATTGTATGACCTGTGTATTGACTGAAGTGAGCCTGTGTATGCCCCTCCCACACACATCCCAGACGAGTGCTTTAAGAGACTTCAGCAAGCCTCTAAAGTGCAAGGCCTTGTTATTATTATTAGTGTTTCGTCCGTCAGGAAATGACCTTTTTCACCCAAATAAACTGTACTTGGCAATCAGGCCACGTGTGGACTGTGAGGACTTCAGGACACTGGACTGTGAGGACTTCAGGACACTGAACCGTTTACTTGGCCACAGGTGTCTTAAGCCTAGCGTACATCGACAGAGTAACTGGAGACAACTAGTTGCAAGGCGGCTTTTGGCAACTGAGAGTAGATGATGGGAGATGTCAGCGCTCTTACAACTGGAGATAAACAGTCGATCTCCGGATTCAGTCAGTTGCCTGTGTTCTACTTTTTGGCAACTAGTTGTACTCAGATCTGGAGATATCACCCGATGTGCGCGCTCCAACAACATGTGTGTATTACGTGTATTGCGCACCCTCTACAGTTGACGGCCAGTTGCTGTCAATGTACGCGCTGTTATTCCCGAGACTGGCCTGCTACTAGGAGTGAGTGCGGGACAGCAACTCATAGGCGACGGATATAATCAGTTGCCTGTCTGATGTACGATAGACATTAAGCTGTGGCCGAAGGAGCAAATGGCAACCTGCACACATGTACGTCAAGTCAAATTTAAGTGTCAAAATGTCATTGTTACTGTTTTGTAGTTTTTGAACTGTACAATTGGTGATTACTGTGACAGGCCTAATATTGTGATATGCTTTTGGCTTGGCCTGGCCTTCTTGACAGAGGCTAAACCACCAACATTGAACTGGACACATCTTTCCCTTATACTGCCACAAGAGCCACAGCCACAGTTAAAACCAAAATGAGTCAAGTCTCAATTGTGTACCGGGCATATGGCCTCTCTCTGTCGTGAAAATGAAGTTGACTTGCACTGGTGTAGACTGTGCGTCAGACACTGCTGCTGCTCTAGTGCCAAAGATCAGAAGGCTCATATTGTTAATTATACAGGCAATTATTGTGCATGAATATCTTCAAAGTAAGCAGTACTGCAGGGCTGCTCTGTGCACCTTTTTAGTAAACTTTTAACAACTTTTTAGCGCGTTTTTATTGTTCAGTTTTTTAATATATCTGAGTGTTTTATCTTTTTAATTCAGTGGTTTCAGCAAATAGCACTTAGTCCCGACTGAAACCCACTAGTAGCACAGAGGCTAACACAAGCTAACGAGGACATGGAAAGTGACAATGAAATTGGCTCAAACATGCACAATATTAGTCGCCTCACCTTGGAGCTCCGTGAGAGCGACCGTGCCACCATTGCAGATCTACGAAAAGAAGTCCTTCGTCTCACCGCAGAGTTGAATGAGAAACAATCTCTAGTATCCAAACTTTTTGAAGTCGCTGGTGGGCAGCATTCACGGCTGATGTCACTGAGCGCTGCATATTGTGACACTGTCGTGTGGGAGAGATCCGTCAGCTCCGGACCCTCCTGTTCTACACCTAAGCGCCCGCTTCCGAATAACGAGCCCGCGGATTCCGAGGAGCCATCCTGCGCCGTGGCCCATGTCCTGAGTCTGGCAAACCGCTATGCAGCCCTCTCCACCGACATCCCGGCCCCCTCAGCAGAATCCCTGGACACTGCAGCGTACTCTACTGCTCGAGGATCCAAGTCCACTGCGAGGAAAACGCTCCTAAAGGAAGCAGTCCTCAGGCGAAAGAGCGGTCCACCAGCCATGTTGGCCTGTTCCCCTTCTTTGACCCCAGTGCAGCAGCCTCAGACTGGGGTAGCTAGCCATCATCACCACCGCTCACCTCCACCGGGTCAGCAGCAGCGCCCAGAGCCAGCCCCTCTCACCGCTCCAGCGTCCCCGAGCACACAGCGTGGGTCGCCTGTAGCTGAGAGTCAGCACCCCCGCTCCTCCTCTCCATGTGTTCAGCGGCGCTCAGGCTCGGGTCCTGCTTCGGGTGAACCCGCTGGTTCCGTCCACCGAGCTCCTTCTCCGAGGCCACTCTTCGCCCCGACCACTCTGATTATTGGAGATTCCATCGTGAGACACGTCCGCTTCTTCAACGCGGTCACTCGCTGTATTCCCGGAGCTACTGTACCAGACCTGCTCATACGTCTCCCTCCTCTGCTTCAGTCCCTGCCTGATACCGTTTCCAAGGTAGTCGTGCATGTGGGAATTAACGACATGAAACTTCAGCAGTCAGAAGTCACGAAGAAACATTTTATGGATCTGTTCCACCTCCTTCAATCCTCCGGACTATCTGTTTTTATTTCTGGTCCAATCCCGACTGTAAACAGAGGTGACTGCCTCTACAGTCGTGTTGTGGCGCTGCATATGTGGATCCAGGCTACATGCAGCTCTTTTAACTTTGTCTTTGTGAATAACTTTGCCCTTTTCT